ATAAAACATAATGTATACAGCTTAAGAAGATTATTTTTATTACTTTCTATTTCATTTTGGAAAAAAGTGGATGTTTTAATATCATTTGAGAAAGGAAATGATATTTTCTTAAAATGCTGTTTCCTGTGATATATCACTTCATATGTAATGTGTTAAAAATAAGAACAAACTCTCATTAAGAAACTAGTGCTGTTATATTTAAAGAGCTCTATTTGGGATCAAAAACAATAATTTGCTGAATTTTTGCTGAATTTTATCTTAAACATACTTTTAAGGGACAATGGACCATGACTGAATTAATGCATTTCATAATGTTTGAAGCCAAAGAAATCCTTGTTATACAAACAAGTAGAACTAAGAAATCTACCTACATATGTAATACTGTTTTAACTGTACTTATATATCTACATATACATTACAAGAGAAATAAATAATAGAATGAAATGCAAAAAATATTGGCTGTGATTGTGCTGGGTGACGAAACTACGAGATCTTTTTTTTCTACTTTTTATATTTGCCAAACTTCTTGAAAATGCATCTGCATGAATGTATACTAAAAATAATAAAATAAAAAACATCCCCTATTTTGTCTGACTGGTAAATGAAAACTCAGAATTTTATATATGCATTGGCAAAAGCACTTACGATTTACTAATAACTCTAAAAATAAGTTATTTTCTTTTTTGTGACTATATCTTCTTCATAAAGTGGACAGTAACATACAGATTGGTGAAGAGAAGTTCAGAAAATTGTTGCTGTTTAGCAATAATAATTCTTATTTGTTAAGCACTTACACTAGTAGTCTATATACAATAACTCAATACTCAGAACAACCCTATAAGGTAGTACTACTTTTATGTCCATGTTATAGGGGCAGAAGCTGAGGCACAGAGAGGTTAAGAATCATGCTGATGGTCACACAACTAACAAATGGCAAAGCAAGAATGAATCCAGGCACTTTGACTACAGGGCCAACTGGCTTATTATGCCTGCGCTTACCAAATGTCTACTATGTGCTTTGCACTTTTGATTATGCATCATTGCTTAATGGAAAGGATGATGACCTCAGATCCAGATGGTTCTGGGTTTAAATTCCAATTCAAATAAGTTCAAGAGATCTATTGTACAATATGGTAACTATGGTGAATAACAATGTATTATATTCTTGATAATTGCTAAAAGAGCAGGTTTTTAAGTGTTCTTATCATAGAAAATGATAAACATGTGAAGTAATGCATATGTTAATTAGCTCAATTTAGCCATTCCACAGTGTAGACATATTTCAAAACAATGTGTTGTACATGATAAATATAATTTTTGTCAATTAAAAATAATACATGCACCATAAAAATCAAATTTCAACTTAAGTATTCACAGGTTATATGTCTTTAGAAAAGAAACCTAGACTCTCAACCTGTTTTTTCATAAATAAATGGCAATAATGGTACTATTTGACAATAAAAAAGTATAGATTTGAATTACATATTAGGTATGTACACACACAAGAAAACTCTGAGGAACATTAAGTAACTTCCCCAAAGATCATACCAGTAGTGAGTAGCAGAGCCACAGTTCAAACTCAGGTCTGCTTGATGCAAGGCAGGATGTGCTACAGAGTTTCAGAGAGGCTGGGGAATCACTTCGAGTTGATAATGTTCACTGATACTTTCATAGAGAAGATTGAGTTATTTTAATCTTTTAGTTTTATAGCATGGGTAATAGAGTTCTTTTAGTCTTACAGTGTAAGTCTTATGTTTAGGCTTAGAATATTAGCGTCGAGTCTTACTGAAGAGTTTTTAAAATCTTATAGCATGGGAAAAGAGGCACAGTGAGAAATTGTAACTTAACTTTTCTATAGTGATCTCTTCAACGTCCTAACAATTGCTCAGTTACTTATCTGATGTAATTTTCACCACTACGGAGGGTAGATAATATTCATTTAATTTTACGGCTAAAGAGCCTGGAGCTCAGAGAGAACCAATGACTGGTCAAGATCACGCTCCAAATAAGTTGTAGAACTAGTACTAGACCCAATAATTTGTATTTTTCAGTAAGATTTGAAAAGCCGTGAATGCAAGGTTTGCCTCCTAGCATACAGTGTCCCAGGGATCTGCTACAAGTGTTTCCTACTTTCTGCAAATATGACCATCATTTTCTTTGCTGAGACCCATAATTATAGCTTTTTTAGTCATGTTTGTCAGCCCAGTGTTCCAAATCTTGTTTTTTCCTAGTTCTGCTAACTTTTCTGTATAATAAATGCCAGGCAGCACTAGCTAATTAACAAGCAGCAGACAAAGCATGTTGATAAATAACTCTTACTCTTCCAAGTCCATATTTACATCTAGTGACTTGTGACCTCACTGTGAACCCAAGTGGCAATAAAGCTACCACTGTGATTAGGGTTAGAATAAACATAATCTGCTTAGCTTTAGTTGAAACTGTGAAAATCTCTTTCATCTTCAATTATTATTTATTTGGCCATTTGGCCCATTTCTCTGAGGGGCAAGGGGCTGTCTAATCTCTCAGGTTGAGCCTCAGGAGTCTGTAACAACAGGAAAGAATGCCAGACCTGCATACCAAGAACTGGGAGTCTGGGCCATAAATCTAAGAGGCCATGACCCCAATGTGGGTGGAGATAAGGAAGTTTCAGGAGCATGTTTATTTGACAGTTATTCTCCAAAGTAGCTGCTTTCAGAATAGATCAGAAAAGTTCCTAGCATTGTACAATTTTTCTAAGTGGAGGAGAATAAATAAACTGTACTACCTTTAGAAACAATACATAATGTAGAGTAAACTGAGACACTGCAGAGTGACTCAGGAGTGACCCAGCTAATTGATCTATTGCACTCCCAAGGGTTCTCATGCCAGCAAGGCAAAGATGTGCTTCTTGGAGACTCACAGGAATTATTCCAGAACTGCCAAGAGTGTTGAAAATGTGTTTAAGAAGACCATATACCCAGATTAGATTACCTTGGAGGAACTCAGCTTTAAACAGTAAGCAGTAAAGTTTTGGCCAAAGTATACTTTCCTCAAATGGAGAAAGCATCTGGGCATGGAGATTCATGCTTATAATCCTAGCTATTTGGGAGGCCAAGGCAGAATGATCAGTTGAGGCCAGGAGTTCAAGACCAGCCTGGGCAATACAGCAGGACCCTGTCTCTACAAAAAAGAAAAAAAATTGCCGGGCAAGATGGAGCACAACTATAGTCCCACCTATTCAAGAGGCTGGGGTGGGAGGACCAGTTGAACCCAGGAGTTCAGGGCTGCAGTGAGCTATGATTACACCACTGCATTCCAGTCTGGCTGACAGAGTGAAACACTATTTTCAAAAAATAAAAGGAGAAATCAGCAGCAAACACTAGTTCCATGGGTCTTGGAGTTTGTGACGCCTACAACCCTGATATTCCTGAGACTTCTAGTACCAAGCAAGTTGGAAGAATTGTGCCTCTTTTTGGATTTGTCATGGGATTATCAACCTCAAGCAGCCCAACAGCCATGTCTCGGGGTCCTCAGGTTTTTCTTGTCTCTATTCCCTCTAACATAGACCAATTTGTGCAACAATACACCTTACTTGGGAAAGATGATTGATTCCAGCAGTCTTTATAAGTATCTCTTTTCCAAAGTGAACTGGCAGAATGAGGAGGCACCAATCATCTGTATGGTTTTGCAAAGATCTGGGAAACAAACTCTGATCAACATAAAAACATTGCCAAACACCTTCAACCAGTAGACATGAGTCTAATAGATCAGAACCAAGAGTTTTGTTTTTCTTTCATAAGAACAAAAGCAATCGAACAACAGCAACAACTAAACCTCGCATCTTTTCTCTTTGCCCCCATTTTCTATCTTTGTTTTGAGTTCTTCCTAAAGTTCTAAACATAGGGTGGTTATTAGGTGACTTGGGGGAAAATGGTAGAAACCAGCCAGTTTTCCCTTTCCTCCAAGGTTGCCCCTAGTTGAGCTTAGCTCACTGAAAGGATCTTCCAATATTAACACAATTTAAGAATTCCTGCTCCCCACAGGTTATCTATTATTTATTTCACTAAATACCTGGTTATTGTTGAGGTTAAGATATGTCAGAGCTTGCAAATCTACAGACAACATAAAATTTCAGTGCTATTTAAATAATTCTCATATGGGTGGGTGAAGGTGGGGGGCCTGTATTAGTGTTTTTACACTACTGATACAGGCAAATCTGAGACTGGGCCATTTATAAAAGAAAGAGTTTTATTGAACTCACAGTTCCACATGGCTGGGGGGGCCTCACAATCATGGCAGAAAGTGAAAGGCACGTCACACCCTGGTGGCAGATAAGAGAAGGCCTCTGGGCCTGTGATAGAGAGGGCTGCCATGAAGACCTCTGACATGCCCTGGAGACATTTTCCCCACTGTCTTGGGGATTAACATTCATCTCCTCATTACTTATGCAAATTTCTGCAGTCAGCTTGAATTTCTCCTCAGAAAATGTGTTTTTCTTTTCTATCACATTGTTAGGCTGCAAATTCTCCAAATTTTTATGCTCTGCTTCTCTTATAAAACCTAATGCCTTTAACAGCATCTAAGTCACCTCTTCAATGCTTTGCTGCTTAGAAATTTCTTTTGCCAGATATCCTAAATCATCTCTCTCAAGTTCAAAGTTCCACAAATCTCTAGGGAAGGGGCAAGATGCTACTAGTCTCTTTGCTAAAACATAAAAAGTGTCACCTTTACTTCAGTTCCCAGCAAGTTCCTCATCTCCATTTGAGACCACCTGAGCCTGAACCTTATTGTCCATATCACTATCAGGCTTTTGGTTAAAGCCATTCAACTGTCTCTAGGAAGCTCTAAACTTTCCCACATTTTCCTGTCTTCTTCTGAGCCCTCCAAACTGTTCCAACCTTTGCCCCTTACTCAGTTCCAAAGTCATTTCCAAATTTTCAGGTATCTTTTCAGCAGCACCCCACTCTACTAGTACCAATTTACTGTGTTAGTCTGTTTTCACACTGCTAATAAAGACATACCTTAGACTGGGCCATTTACAAAACAAAGAAGTTTATTGGAGTCACAGTTGCATATGGCGGGGGAGGTCTCACGATCACGTTGGAAGGTGAAAAGCACATCTCACATGGCAGCAGACAAGACAAGAGAGCTTGTGTAAGGAAACTCTCCTTTTAATACCATCAGATCTCGTGAGACTAATTTGCTATCACAAGAATGGTACAAGAAAGATCTGCCCCCATGATTCAATTACCTCTGACTAGCTCCCTCCAACAACATGTAGGAATTTAAGGTGAGATTTGTCTGGGGACACAGCTAAATACATCAGGGCCCTGGGGGTATACATTTTCCAATAGTTTTTTTAGGAAGTTGCTATGGCATTATTATCAAAAACTGATACAGAAAGTTTAATTGATTAAGCTGTATATTTATATTTTGCGAACCTAGCACTTTTTAAAAACTAGATAAATAGATCTAAGTATCTCTTCAAAATCAAGTTGCTAATTAAAAGTTTTCAATGAAAGACTTTGTAAACCAAGTTGAGCATGTCTTCCAGAAAGTAGAATATAGAGACAAAAAGAATGAAACATTGTTTAAAAAGTCTTAATGGTGTCCTAGAGTTAGATTTAAAAATTTTTGAGAGATTGAGAACAAATAAAAAGAGAGATTAAATTATCAAAGAAATAATGCAAGAATGCTTTTGATAAATGAAAGCCATTTATGTCCAGATGAAAGAGACCATTTGGTAACTTCAACCAAGATGTGTTAACTGTAAAATTTCAAAATATCAAGAATAAGTAAAAATAAATAATAAATCCTTAAGGATTTTCAAGATAATTACATATTAATTTCACTAATTTTAAAACCAATCCATATATATCCTAGATAATTTAGGAAAGTATAAAGAAGAAAAATGTTTGTTCTAGTTATATGTATAATCATGTACATATATTTATAAAATCTGGATAATTTATGTATGTATGCACATATATATGTAATTTTATATTTTCTTTTACAAGTAATAGCTTGAATATTCATTCTATTAATATTCTTCATAAACATGATGTTTAATGGTTATAAAATATTAAATTTTATGGATATGACATTGTCTAACCAGTTTCTATCAATAAATATTTAGGTTGCTACTAAAAATAATGCTACATTAAATATCTTGTGCATAAATCTTGGAAAGACTGCCTGATTATTTATTTGGGACAGATTCTTAAAAGAGGAACAACTGTTTAAAGGGTACTTACTAGTTGTTGGATACTTATGCCTGTCTTTAAGATCCTTCATGCATATGACCTGGTTGTTTTTGAGAAGCTGCTATCAATTTAGAGAAGATACTCAAAGGAGGTTAAAAGGGTGTGTGAAATAAAGGGATCAGGCTGACTCTGAAATTAGTGGCAGAGTCAGTAAGGGAAGGCAGCCCGATAACTTCCGTACGAGCAGTCTTTGTGCACTCATCTTCCCATTGCTTTCTATGGATGCCAGTAGCTTTCTATGGATGTTCACGCCTCTTATAAAAAAATAAAAATAAAAGAAATAAAACAAAATGCCAGGTATCTTACTGCATATCAGGCTCAAAATTGTTGGCAATAACATAAGACATGGTCTTGCATGATTCATACTTTTCATTGTCATTAAAAGGCTTACGGAGTGCCTGTACAAGTCAAGACATTAATACAGCCTGGCATAAACAAATATGGACCATTTCTTGAGCATGCCACTATCATGGAGCAGGCTGCACCTTGTGCTGGTAGGGTATATTCTTCTGATTTTATGGGTTAGAGTCAAAGAGGAGGGCAACAAAATCTACAAAAAGAATGCTGGGGAGAGGTAGAATGGTGAAATGGCATATATATAAACTGCTATTATACAGGCATGCTAAACAGAAACATGCCTTCTTTTAGACTCAAGATTTATCATTTAAGATTTGGTTTGGCTCCATAAACAGAAAACCCAACTCATCAAAAGGTTAAACAAAACAAGGTATTCTGCTCACACATAAGTTCAGAGGTTACAATAAGAGGAGTAAGTGTCCTATTGCAGTAGTATCTTTATTTTATTTTACTTTTTAAAGGCAGGGTCTTACTATGTTGCCCAGTCTGGACTTGAACTCCTGACCTAAAGCAAACCTCCCACTTCAGCCTCCCAGTAGTTGGGACTACAGGCAGATGCCAACATGGCCAGCTTGTAGTAATTTATTTTTGAAGATTGATCTGGGGGTGGTGAGGGATAGGACAAAGTAGAGGAAACTGAATCAGGAAGATGTCCTTAGGGAACAACTACTTGATGAGATGTTCAGAGGGACTGAAATGACAGCATGAATGAAAGAGACACTGGAGAGAAGATTTTGCAAGTTGGTGTCAAAGTGGAAAAGTAGGGCACAAGCAGGAAAGAAGTGAAGATGATATCAAGGTTTAGATATCGGGAATTTCAATCCAAACTGGGGAGAGACAGTCAATTCCCTTTCAGGCACATGGAGCTTGTCCTCATGAGCTAAGCCAGGGCTACCATGGCAGAGTCACTCCAGGACAGCATGAGTACCTTGTCTAACTGGTTTTGGAGTGTCTGCCTGATTGTGCCACCCATGAAATAGTGCGTTGGTTCCCTTAGGAGGGCACACCTCTCAGCACTGATAAGATTAGGGTGATCAGAATGAGAAAGGTTGACTAGAAAAATACTGAAACCTAAAACACTGATACCCAGCCCTTGGTGGTCAGACAGGAAACTTCATTGTCTCTACACATTGAATGCTGAAACCTGGAACAGGAGTGACTGGAAATCCGCATCCAAGACCTATTCAGTACACATTTGATTTTAACTTTGTTTTCTTCTTTTGATATCAATAATGTTTCCATAAAAATGAAATAAACATAGAAAAGCAGGAAAATATATTAAAAAGAAGCAATAATCTCACCATCCAGAGACAAAACTCTAATACGTGGGTACATAAATTTCTGTACCTTTTTTCCATCAACAATGTGTGTGTTTGTGTAAAAAGGAAATTATGTATTTTATGCTAAATTGGAGACAATAACTTTTTGTGATTTGTTGACCTCCCATTTAAAAATGTTACGAAAAAAATTGTGAACATTTTTCAAACTGTAATATTTTCTTTAACATTGTTTATAAAGGCGGTATAATGTGCCAGCACATATGTATACCATTACAATATTTAACCTCATGTGTATTTAGGGAGTTCTGATTTTTTGTTTTTATAAGCAACACTGTAATTGGAATGCTTAAAACTAAATTGTCACATACACCTTTAATGATTTCCTTACCATAAATTACTAAAAATGTAATTGTTAACAAAGGGCACATGCATTTTAAGGTTTTCGATATATATAACCACATTTCCCTTTAACAACTTTTTCTTATGTTAGTTCCACCACAGGATCATATGATAATATCTATTTTTTTACATTCTCATCAAAATTGGATATTTTTAGTACTAAAATATATTTGTCAATTTAAAAAGTAAAAAATTGTATTACATTATTGCTTAATTTTCATACTTTTATTACTATCCTAGTGAAAAATGTACTTTTCATATTATTGGCTTTTTGCTTGTCCTGTGTGGTCAATTGCTTATTTATATCTTTCTCTATCTAATTTAGTGTCTAAAAAAGTTATTAGAACAATTTAATATAAGGTATATTTCCTTTTGCCTGTCTTAAATGTTGCAAAATTTTTCTCATTCTGCAAGTATCATTTGTCTTGCTTCTGGTGATTGTTAATATCTACACATTTAGGTTTTTTTTTTCTTTTATTATTTCTGCCTTTCATGTAATATTTAAAGGTCCTTTCTCCACAATAATAATGCATAGATATTCACCTTTTTGTTATAATAGTAATTTTGTGGAGTAGTGGAAATGCCGTCAGGAATTCGTTTGAGATGGGTAACAAAGAGAGAGGGATCAAGAGTGACTGAGTTTTTGAGCTTGGTAGACTTTGGTGAGGGAGGAACCACGGACCAAAAGCCAGGAATACAGGAAAGGGAACAAGTCTGTTAGGGTAGATAATGAGTTCAGTTTTGCACATGTTGCATTTAAACTGTCTGCCAGAAACCCTGGTAGAAATGCTCAACAGGCAGTTGGAACAAGGGTATGGAATGAGGAGTAAGGTTGTGTTTTAAATACAAATATAGAAATCATCAGCAGACATCTGATAGTTTAACAGCATGTTCTTTTCAGTGCATATCCTGGGCCAAGCACTATGCTAAGCACTTCACATAATTTTATTTGGTCTTCTCAAAAAAATATGAGGTTAAAATTATTACCCTCATTTTATACCTGAAGGGATGGGTTTGCAGAAGTTAAACTACTTTACAAAGTTCTTACGGCTGGGTAGTGGTAGAACTTGAATGTGAAATCAGGTAAGTTCACCTGATTCCAGAGTTCCTAACCCCATTTGCTCTATTGTCACAGGAGTGGATGAGCTCAAGCAGGGAAAGTCAGAGTCCCAAGGATGAAGAATAGCAAACTTTAGTGGATGGGCAGGGAAGAAGGGAAGTTGTGAAGGAGTCTGAGAAGGTTAGAGTGGAAGGCAGAAGGCCATGTGTATACATGTTGCTGCTTTAACCAGAATGGAAGCATTTTGATGGTAGGGGCTTATATCTTATACACTCTTTGAGATAAACGTGAGACCTTTCTTCTGACCCTGATCCTCAAAAAAGTCTGTTAACAATGCTTTGTACATAAATATTTCTTTGTTTATGCTGTGATGGTCTGTCAGTAATTTTCTTGCTTTAACTTTCTGAGCTAGACCTTACCAGTCCCTGTGTCCTCACGCATTATGGACTAGGGGTTCATTCACCGGAGAGCCTCAGTGCTATCCTATCGCCTTCTCTGAAAGCAACAGGAGTAGACTCCTTGGTATATGCTCTCTATGTGCCCCGGGTCAGACCTCTTCCCACAAATGCACAGCATGCCACTTTTACTTGTGTTGACTTTTTACCTGAGTTGGTGAGAGATTATGCAATATATCCTTTTATCTTTGCATCATAGATTTTTCTTTTCTTCCTTTATTGGCTGTTTCCCTGCATAGTTAGGACTTTATCAAATGGAAATAGAATCAACCTCTTTTCTTCATAGCCTGAATATTTAGTAGCATAGCAGAAACAAAGCTATAGTAGAAGCCTGGACCTGAAATTTATCACATACTAAAGGAGTGTGGTATAGTAGAAAAAGCACAGATTTAGGAATTAGGTGTTACGATTCTCATGCTGTCACTCCATATCTGTGACTTTGGAAAGATTATTTAAATGATTTGAGCCCTATTTCCCTCATTATAAAGTGAAGATACTTGTTACCGAGTGATTGTGAAGATCAAATAAACTTACCAAGATAAAGGGCTTAGCTCGTTGTAGATTCCCAGAATGAGGAAGTTGAAATTCTGGCACATACAGAATCATTTTGCTCCATGTTCTCAGATGCTTGCCTCTTGGCCATTCCATAGCTTATTTCCACCCATCCATGTTAGGTACTGTTAGTAGAAAAATAAGCCCCAATTCAGCCATGCCTGCCTGGCACAGCTAAGGCACATAAGTTTAGTTGATGATAAATACACTGTTGAAAATGGTTTAGGTCATATCTGGTTTTCTTGATTCATACTATTAGTGGGTTAAAAAATGCACTTGCAATCAGTTTCTCACGATAACCCATAAATATCCTATTGTAGTCTTTCTTTCTGGAAAAAAATCTAGACACAAATTTCTCATAGACTGGAGAGTATTTATTTCAAGCACATCCCATACAGAATCTATCTTGGCCTCTCTCCAAATAACCCAAAAGTTGCTTCCTACTTCTAGACACCCGCTGCAATCCTGGATGAATACTAGATGACTCCAATTGCAAGTTAGCACAGGTTTCAGACAAGCCTAGTGGGTAAAGAGAGAACTTTTTGAAGACAAGAAAAAAATAAGCTGCAACTTTAACTTGGCAGACCTATTTATTAAAATTGTGGTTTAGGAGAATTTTCCAAAGCCCCTACAGCTATAGATCTCATTTGAAAGCCCCAACTTCCCCCTCTTCTTTAGGAATGAATATTCTTTTTATTATTATTATTTATTTATTTATTTTTTGAGACGGAGTCTCACTCTGTCGCCCAGGTTGGAGTGCAGTGGTGCGATCTCGGCTCACTGCAAGTTCCGCCTCCTGGGTTCACACCAGGGAATGAATATTCTTTAGGAAAGCCCTGGCTTGTTCCTGTTGTCTGGTATAATTATTCATAGTGCCCCCTTTCACTCTCAAGAGTCATAGTTTGAATGATAAAATATATGGTCATTTCTTCCAGGCCTTTTGCAGAGTAAAGTTCATCTGTTTTAAGACATATTTCTTGTATTAATCTAAGAAAAATTAGATTACCTTTTCTGTAAGAGAGCCCTTGGGACCCCATCTTGCAGTCATTTACATATTTCTTCAGGGCAATAATTAAAAGCTCACATAAGCTAATGAATAACTCCCCATGGCTCTCTTAATGGCAAAAGCAAATAATGTAACTTCACAGGGGCTCACCAAATACAGTATCTCTAGGAGGAAAACATGAGGGTTTGCCCCTTCAAGTTTACATTTGCAAAGCAATTTGCAATCATTGTAATTAGTTTTTCCATTTCATAAGAATAGGTACCCACATTGGACAGAAAGGGAATGGAGATTCAGAGAAATCTAATGCTGTGCCTTCTGGGATATCATTCTTGGCTTGAATTCTGAGCACCTCGTGGTCTCACACACCTTTTACAAACTTGAGTCACTGGCCTTCCCAACCTTGGTGAGAAGATGTGCTATGGTTTAGCAATTTGAGGGTAGTAAGCTTGTCAAAACATCACCAGAGATGTTTTGAGAATTACTGTGGAGAACAGGTTTCCATGGTGCAGTGTGGCTGCTAGGAGGGGGACGAATGGCACAGCTGTTCTCTCCAGAGGGAGGAAGCACTGGCTCTTTTGTGTCAGAAAAAGCTGAGATCTTCCTGATAATCCTAAACCATCTTGACAGGTATATGTTCAGGTTGGGGAAGGTAGGTTCTCGAGAAGCATTATAATTGCAGGGGACAGGGCTGATTGAAAGAAGAGGCAAGAATAGTCTAGCTGCTTGATAATATCCTTTCCATCTATTCACTGTCTGGCTTGATCCAGTGTATAGTTTGTCCCTGACTACCTGACTCCCTGTCTGCAGCCTAGTTCCGAGAGTAGAAAATAAGTCCAAAGCAAGGAAGGGGAGTACAGGAAGGTTTGCCCCCCACAAAAAATGTTCTTGGATTGCCTTTGTCTTGTGGGAAAATGTACTTCAGCAGAGGAAAGGATAGCACCATGAAACCAGAAGAGAACTATGGCATCATGTTTGCTTTGAGATGGCCTTTCTTCCAAACCTAAAAAGAGGAGAGAAAACATCACCTCTTGGGCAGTGGTGCTCTTGTAGGGTGACTAGAATCAGCTAGGGTGTAAGTCTTACCAGACGATGTCTAGAACACCCAGAATTCTGATATTTTAGAGTCCACAGGACTTTCCAGAGATCTTGCAACCTAACTCCCTCATTTAAACCAGGGGACTTTCAGGTTCAGAGACCTAGGCAACTTTTACAAAGATTTTACTGAACTGCTAGGCCGGGGTGCTTACCAAGCTACTTTAATCTAAAAGTCTTAAAAATATAAACCGAGAGTAATTTCTTCCCACTGTGAAGAATGATCATGAGACCTAAATGAGTACTGCTGGAAACAAACTGCACATACTTCCTGCCTGGCAAAGGAGCTTGCTCACCATGGTTGGCTGCTGTCCCTGAGAGAGGAATCTCCTACCCCCAGAGAGGCAATAAAACTGAAGCTTCAGGATCCCTTTCAAGGCCCTAGACCTAATTAGATATTTTTGATTTTGCATTCTTTTGCTTAAAAAGCTCCTTCCTCCAATGTTATCAGCTTCAGGACCCAGAAATTCCGAACTTTGCCCTGCCTGTCCTACCTCATAAATCAAAATGTCTGATGTTCCAATATGCTCTTGCTCAAAAGAGGAGAACAGACAACAGTGAGGATGACTCTGCCTGGACCAGGCTTGGGAAAACAGTCTGGGGCTGGTGAGAAAGTTGGGCTGGGTATAATTCTGAGGGCTGCCCCACAAGATGTCTCAAACTCCTACCTCATTTCTACCCTAGGAGCTCGTTGGGCAGACAAAGTCTGTCTCTCAGATTTACAGACCCAGGATTTTAGAGCTGGCAAAGGTCTCATTTTGTCATCCTTCCTAATTTTGCAGGCATTTAGAATGGCTTCAGCATCTTGTGCTCTCCTCCCTGGGAAGTGAGGTGACATGGTTGGCTAATTCTTTAAGCAGGTAGAATATCTGTCTCACTTATTAGATATAATCTTCTTGGTGTGTCCCTGCGTGGGTGGAAACCAGTGAATGAGGCCTACCCAGCTAAGGACTTCAATAAAACACAAATGAGTGCAGTTCTACACACTGCCACTTAGTGTCCATTCCAAGCAAAGCTTCTGAGTTACTCTCTGAGGAAAGATAAAACTGCACAGGGCAGTGCCTGCAGACAGTATTTAAAGCGTGTCCCTCATTTCATATTAATAGCTACCATTTATTTACCACCTACTGTGGACCCAGCCATTTTCTCAACAACTTTATTTCTATTTATTTATTTAATTTATTTATTTATTTTGAGACAGAGTCTTGCTCAGGTCACCCAAGCTGGAGAGCAATGGTGCGATCTTGGCTCACTGTAACCTCTCCATCCTAGGTTCAAGTTATTCTCCTGTCTCAGTCTCCCAAGTAGCTGGGATTACAGGCACCCGCCACCACGCCCGGCTAATTTTTGTATTTTTAGTAGAGACAAGTTTCACCACGTTGGCCAGGCTGGTCTTGAACTCGTGACCTCAAATGATTCACCCGCCTCGGCCTCTCAAAGTGCTTGGATTACAGGCATGAACCACCGTGCCCGGCCACAGGTATTATCGTTCTCCTTTTGTTGATGTAGAAACCAAGGCTGAGAGAGGTTATGTGACTTGTCCCAGTTACACATCTAGGGCATCCCTCTGCTTGTTTGGGGCATGTGGAGGCTAAAGTTTAGGGTGTGTCAGGCCAGAGGAGGAAGGCAGAAAGACAATGGCCTTGCCAAACCTCCTTTCTCCCTTTCACACAGGACTCTAAGTCCCAGTTCTAACACATACTAGTTATGTGTGCCCTTGAGAAAGGTGCTCTTAATCTTGGTTTCCTTATTTATAAATCGAAGAAAATAACCCACTTCATAAAGCAATTGAGAAGATGAAACAACAGAATGTGAGCAGCGCTCCATTCACAGCACATTCAGGTACAAAATAGCTCATTTTGGTATAAACTGCTCACCCCCTAGACCTCAATGCCCAATTTCTCATTTTCTTTATGTCTTTACTAAATTGTCTCCTTCTTACTGAAACCTTCCCTGGCCACCCTATCTAAAAGGCAAACCCCATATAATCTCTTCACATCCCCTTTCCTGCCTTATTTTATTACCAATTAATATATGACAAATTGTACTTATTTTGTCTTGTCTGTCTCCACCCACAAGAAGGTAAATTTTTTTGAGGCCAGTAGTCATTGTCTGCGTTAGGATTTCTGTATCATGCCAAGTACACAGACCTGTGCATGGTGAATGGTAGTACTCAATGTATATTGGTCAAATGAATGAAAACAAACAACAACAACAACAACAAACGTTAGGAACCTCAAGACCTGTGCTTGATTTGGCTTTTTTCCTTACTATTTGACTCTGGGTCCATTACTTAAAACGTCTTGTCCTTAGTTTCCTCATTTGTAAAATAGGAAGAAAAATAGTATCTATTACTAAGACAGCTGGGAAGATTAAAAGACATAATTTATAAACCCTCTGGCATATAGTGAGTGCTCAATAAATGTTTGCCATTATTATTATTTGTAATAATCTGACCAATTGTTAAAACTGTCTTTCTGTGCAGCTCAGACTTTTTAGGATATGAGAAGAGGCTAAAAGTCACGAGTGCCCTTGGCATTTTCGGCCCAGCTGTACTCCTTGTTAACTGATTGCCAGTTGAATGGGTGTGAAAGTGCTCAGTGTTCACACCTCCAAGCTGCTGAGAGGTCAGCATTGCCATTCATTGAGAAAGAACAGGCTGCGGGAGCTCAAATGACTTACTTATGGTCCCTCAACTTAAAAACCGGGACACGCAGGAACCAAGTCCAGCCAGTCTCCGGCTTCCTAACACTGTACTTTCTCTCTACAGTGTGGGGTGGTTTGGAGCCCTGTGACTTCAGACCTGTGTTCAGCGGAGCCTTTCACTGGCCATCTCCCGCAGAGTACTTTTTCACAATCAGTTTTCTCGCAAGCAAAACGTGGAAAATAAGATCCACACCTCATAAGTTTGTGGCCAGGGTCACAGGCGAAAACAGCTCTTCGGAAACTCTAAAGCGCCGGATAAATAAACACTGCAACACGCAACCACACGCGAAATCCTTTCAGCTGCCAGTCCCGGGACTAACT